TAATAGCAATGGCTTCTTTTTCTACTTGTCTTTTTTAGCATTATGTATCTACGTATATTATGTATATGCATATATATGAATACAAGTATAGACATATGCTGTCAGCTACAGATAACTGTATACGCAGATACACTGAATCATATTTTAAAAAATCAATTTGGTGTCATCTTATTCTATTCTTCCATACCAAGTTGGGTTTCTTACAATAAGCCATTATTTGTACAAATATATACATGTTCATTACTGGGTCGTAAAACTGGTACACTGTCTCATCTGTTGGTGGCTCTGTGAACATAATTAACATGCCTGAGATGTGATCTTGTGATTTTCCTTGTGTGTGTATAGACTAGGATTTCAAAATCATCATCAGAAACTTTCTAAGAATTGGAAGCAAAACCTGCCATTTGTAGATATATTGATACCAATGAATCTCCTTATCAATGTATCACACACTGTAACTTCATTGCTACATAGTGAAAATATTTGTAACTTGTGGCAGCATGTATTATATACAGGGCATATGGTGTAAGCGAAGATTCAGTAAAGGATACTATATACTGTACTTCAATGTTTAAAGAAGGGTTTTTGTCTCCCCTTAGAGTACTAAAGTATCTCAACACCTGTGATTAGAAAAAGGAAAGAGTAAAGAGCAAATTGCAAATTGATTTTTTTTTAAGGGAACTGTTGTTTGTAAAGTTTCCTAACAAAGGAAGCTGGTCGACTACATACCTACCGCAATAAGAACAACTGATCATATTAAAAAGATGGTGATACAGGATATTAAAGCAATGGTTTAACTTTCATGGTGCAGTTTAAAAGTACAAATCCAACCTTTTTATTGCATCAAATATGTCAAAGAACTCAACTCCAGCTTTAAAACATGAGCAAGTTTACAATCATGCAAACACTAGATTCAAATACATTGTACAGTAAATTGCCTACATAAAGGTAATTCAAGCTGGCGTATTGCATTTAGAGTGACGGCTTGTGAAGCTCTGGAAGATCTGAGAGTTTACCTACTGAAAATGGTCTCAGAATAAAACGGTCCAAAGGAAAAGAAAGATAATTTTGTAGAAAGTACCACTGGTATTGTCCTAATCATTTTCCAGGCACAAGATAATAAAAGTGGGGTCCTAATTTGTTTTAGGTCCTTTCAAACTCTTCTTGAAATTTCCCAACTAAATTTAACAAGAGCACAAAAACTGGCAAAACGATTTTGGCACCTCGTCAACTATATATATATTTTTTCTTACTGAGGCAGGGATGTACTTGGGAGGCCAGTGACGAATGGTTGAATAAAATCCGTCCGAAGAACATCGACATTTCAAACAATTATCATCATTCATTATCAACCTGTCATCAACCATCGACCTGTCAAGTGCATCTTTGCCTTGACAAAAAACAAAGCAGAGTATAGACAGAAATCTTACATGTAATACCTGCCCTTTGTTAACAGATGAATAATTACCCACACAGTCTAGATGTTCAAGCCTCAATTTACAGCAATTAACACATACATACAAAATACCTGTAGCCAAGCCAGTCTCCTCCATCAACTGACAATCTATTTTTCATGTCAATTCCATAGACTGTCACCCGGTTTGTTAAAATTGTGCCAGGCCCGACCCAAAGAATTTTTATAAATACAGATGCAGAAATAAAGGTATATCTGTCTATATATCTGATAGATATACATTTAACCATCTATTTGCCGGGTTGATAGGCATATCTAGACTGATAAATATGCATTTATTTCTTTATTAATGCATGTCAAATATATTATTATTCTTTGGGTCGGGCCTCGCACAATTTTAACAAACCGGCCGAATATCTAGTAAATTTTAGACTTGTACCTGTAGATAGGTTTTACATGGGTGGAGGCTGGTTTGCATGGCGTAAAAGTGATACCACAGAATTACCACAGTTAAACATATTTCAGCGAATGATAAAGTGCATAGTAAGTTGGGTGGCAGTGGTTTCTTTGTCCTTATTTAGGACTTACCTGCCTGCTGATTAGTATATAATAAATAAAATATAAATGCCTTGCAAATTGTGATATATAATAAGATTAAGAGAAGGAAAAATTAAAAATAACACATTAGCAGGTGATAATTACATGTAGCAATATGTATCTAAAAAAGAAAAGAAAAGAAAAACAAAAAACATTACTATAATAAAGTATGGATCAGTCTCGGCATTAATCGAAAAAGATTCATGGTCTCTCCGCTCCAACATAATGTATTCCATCCTCTCCACATATGATGCTGAAATACTCATTTCTCGTACTACTTTATGCTAATGCCATTAAAAACTAAACAGAGTTCAATATGACAAATGTCGAAGGTATGAATGAAAACACATAATTACGCATCGCAAGAACACCTTGGTGACACTTTGATATCTAAATGCCCTTTGCTCTGTGGAATTATCAATCATCGTTCATAACTTCAACATGGAATCACGCGCTAAAGTCGTAAGCAATGGAATGTAAAGAGAAACTACCTTTGGCAAATCTATGTACTATCTCACGTATTATGGAAGCCTTGATGCTAACCTCGTTATATCTTAAAAGTATGAAAAACATTACTTTCTTCTTCTTTTTTTTTAGCGGATATGAATCACGACTATTACTCCTTTTTCTTTTTCCTTTTCAATTTCTCGTAATGTTCCATGTCGATAAGAGAAACCTATAGCCGGGTGAATTCTGCGGGGTAATGTTTGAAAACTTGAATTTCTCTCTATTATGAAGATTGATAAACATGACATTTGTTATCTTGAAGAATAAAGATAGTTTGGTCAAAAGCACAGAAAGAATACAGTAATAGTAAAAAAAGTAATGAAGATGATAAAAAAATTAATAATAATAATAATAATAAATACTACTACTACTAATAATAATAATAATAACTTTAATAATAATAATAATAACAATGAGTAAAAATAATAATCATTATCATAATAACAATATTAATACTACAGTGACAAGGATAACAATCAGTGATGATAATAATAATAATGACAGTAACAATAATAAACAAACAATAACGAATATAAAAAAAAGTGTCCAAAAAAACTATCCCCATTATCAAAATTTGATCACCTTGAGCTGAAATAATGGCGTATTAAAGTAAGACCAACATGACACAACTTTCCTGTGCTGTGTGCGCATGAATCACCGAGCTTCGCTATCCTTTAGGGGTTTATGAAAACAACTACCGATACGGAGGAAAGGAAAATTATAGAAAAGATACCCTGAACTTTGCTGTCCTTAAGTGGTTGCAAAGATAATTACCAATATGGAGCAAAGATATAGATAAAGATGAAGATAAAGATAAAGACAAATATGATGATGATAATGACAAAAAAGATAAGAAAAATAAGAATAAAAAAGACAAAATGGTAATAGAAAATAACAAAGAATGTATAAGATGTGGAATGGAGATAGAGAACAGGGAAGAATGCAAGAGAAAGGATGGAGATAGAAAACAAGTGAAAATGTAAATAAAAGAATAACCTGGTAAGGGAAGGACATGAAATGAAAGACCAAGAAGCAAAAAAAAAGAATAAAAAATAATAATAAATAAATAAATAAATAAATAATATAAAAAGAGAGAGAAACAGGAAAAACAGAGGAAGAGAAGAAAAATACATTCATAAAACAACTAAATAAGTTGATGCTGTATGAAGTATAAATATAATTTAATGTAAACTTCAATAATATTGTGCACTAACAAAGACAAATATTCATGCATTAACACTCCACAGTACACTCTTCATGATAAATATTCATAAAATCACAAAACATTCTATAAACAACTTTAAAATACTGCTAACAACACATACAACAACTTTCCAACAATACACTATAATTCACATGATCTCTGGCTGATATACAAAAAGATACCTTCGACAGGTCCTTCATCTAGGGAAAGTGGTCTTCAACAGGTATCTAACCCTCTTGCGCACATCTGGTTTGAAATGAGTTTCCTCGCAGTTTCCCTACAGCTCCTCTGCATTAACCAGTTACCTGCTACAAACCAGAAACAGGTGGTTGGAAGCCGTTCCGTGTACAATGTTGAGATGGCTCAACAGTCAAAATAGGACACGGTTTGGATGAAAGCTTTACTTTTCGAGGATATTCAAATGAAGCATGACAACCTTTGTCATATTTTTTGTAGGTCCATGACTCCATAAGTAATGCAGACGCTGCTTCCATGTGCACAAGAGAGTTAAGTTAAAGGTATAGATAGAAATACAAGTCTTCAACAGGTTTCACAAAATCTCTTTTCTCTTTCTCTCTCTCTCTCTCTCTCTCTCTCTCTCTCTCTCTCTCTCTCTCTCTCTCTCTCTCTCTCTCTCTCTCTCTCTCTCTCTCTCTCACACACACAAGCACACACACACACACACACACACACATGCACGTATAAGGTACATCACACTGTATACATCAAATATAAACAAATAGAAATCTTCCATCTTTTCCTCTGTTCTCTTGCCAGAAGCGTTGTCTAATGAGACTAACAATGAATTTAATTGTTCTCTATATTACGTTTTTAATCTATATCTAACAAGTTAAAAAGTTTCATTTTTAGAAAAATTGTGTATTAACCCTAAAAGGACGATATACAGCAATTTTTGTAATTAGGCATGAACATTATTCAAGGTGAAAGATGGAAAAAGTTATTTGAGCGATCATTTTTTTCCATTTGTTTATTAGGTTTTTGAGTCACCTTTATGTTTCCATCCTGTGGATACACGTATGGCATTGTCGTACTTATGTCTGTAATTTACAGAAGACAAAAGTTGGCAAAAGTAATTTTACCAGATAAATTTTCGATCTCTTCGTAACAGACTTTCATGTCTCGTTTTAGTTCCTGTCCCACGCACACACAAAGCTCTGGTTTTTCCGTCCTTAATGGGTTAATAGGAAGCAGCTGTATCTTTGTTTGTCTTTTTCATTAGTCTGTGTTTTATAAATACAAAGAAATAGAAAAAAGACATTTTTGATGACTAAACTTCATTTTATACATAAACATTTTTTTCTACAAACATTCTTGTAAGTCCTATCAATTCCACTTGATAAGGTAGTAATTCTTCTTTCCTGTAATGAAAAGAAAAATAAGTAAATTACAAGACCGTAAAACTATAAAAAAAAAAAAAATACTGACACCAAATTATCAACAATACATTCCCCAAAACTTTACCATATCTAAAAACAAAAGAAACTAAAACAAGACAAAACATCTAAACCCGAAGTAAAGGGAAAGCTACATGTCATTAACTTCCGAGCATCAACATCAAGTCTAAAATCCTTATCGAAAAAACAAAACAAAAAAAGAAAGAACGGGCAAAGTCGCTGAATACCCTGATCTTATACTGGAAACTTTTCTCTTTTAAGTGGGCTTTTAAAACTGATTAAGCATCAAGTTAACAATCTTAGCGACAGTGACAACCTGTACATACTTGATATTCGTGAAGGTTAAACCCAATGCTAAATGTTTTTTTCTGTAAAGTATTACATTATAGAACAAAAAGGAAAAAATAAAAGAAAAGATAAAGAAATATAAAATAAAAATAAATAAAATAAAAGAAAAGAAAATAAACGAAGAAAGAAGAAGAAAGAGAATATATATGTAAAAGAAAAGAAAGAAAAAGAAGAAGAAGAAAATATATATATATACATTATATATAACACATACATACATATATAATATTACAGACTCCTTACCAACTCTTGCAATAGTAATTCCATTTGGCAGAATATGCACTCCCGGGATGAGTATAAGATCTGGATTGGTGACGCGACTCAGGTTGACGTAAAAACCACCAGCACTTATGATTCGCCGTGCATCTTCTGAGAATGAGGAAAATCAAGCACTTTAAGACAATCTGAAGAGAAGTATATGAATGAGATCCTATTTAAGCAAGAAGGCAGAGCATATGATTCTCTCCTACGTATTTATTTAATATCTTCTCTAAAAAATGAATCACAGTTTAATCGATTCATTTAATACATTTATACAATCCTCAACAACTATATAGGCATAAATTTTCAAAGTTCACTAAGCCAAATTTTGGTTGTAGGGATCTTGCACTCTGGAAAATGTTTATTTCATATTATCATCCTAAACACAACAACTATCTGTAAAGTGGAAAACGGGTAAAGTTATCATAGTCATGTGGATAAAAACGCATATAAAACTCTCAAATCGTAAAAGACAATAAACCATTTCTTTAGGTGTATTTGTAACTGTGATTGGCTGCGTGACTGGCAGAGAAAGGTCTACAAGGGGGTAGTGGTATGGGCAGTGGCCGAGGGAAACTTGCCAAACAATATCACATATATTTATATGAGAGGACACTAAAAATGCCTCATTGAAAATGAAAAAGAAACAGGAAAGAATACTACTAGTTTTGACCGGTGTTCCACAATAGGACTTTTAGGGTCAAAGATGAAATGAATATTTTGTATATGACATTCATTTACAGCAACTAAATGACATTTCACTCCCATGCTTACATATCTAAATGCTAATAAAGTGACCTATTGCTTCATGTGTGACATAGTCACTAACCATACAAATAAACATAGTTATCATCTTCATCTGTGTTTACAAAATGACGACTAGAAATGAACTCATTCATATGAATATAAAATAACTTCAAGCTATCACATTTTACATTTTCCTTAAGACCCGTAAAATGTAATATGTTTCAAGGTAAAAATTGTTACCTGTTTCTAAATCATACGTCTCATCATATCTACAGAAAATTCCTTCTCCTTGAAATATTTCTAGATTACCACTTTAGTATCAAGCAAAGTGGTCTTGGTGTTTCGAAATCCGATTTAAAAATGAAATTACTTATCATTAACCATACCATACAAGATCCATACACATTTCTAATCAATTAGTTTCAAATACAATGTACAATGAAAACACTATCATAGAGAAAAGAAATATATGATAAATTTATGGAACTCCAT